ACACTCTCTTCACCTCTACTACATTCTTGTCCAACTCCTCCTTCAGGACCACCCTACTCCATTCCTCTTTCTATCCACACCATGGTAAAACTGTTTGAACCCTGCTCCAATGTTGCGAGCCTTGCTGCCCTTCCACTTGGTCTCTTGGACACATAAAACATCTACCTTTCTTCTCTGCATCATGTCAGCCAGCTCTCTACCTTTGCCTGTCATTGTCCCCACATTTATAGTTGCAACCTTCAGTCCTACATTCTTCACGTTCCTCTTCTCTCTCTGTCTCCTGACACGTTTCCCTCCTCGTGGTTTTTGACTAACTGTAGCACAATTTCTGCCCGCACCCTGTTTGTCAACAGCACCGGTGGCGGTCATTGTTAACCCGGGCCTCCACCGATCCGGTATGGTGTCGCTTTGATGAACTCGCATTATAGTTTTGGCAAAAGTGTTTTACATCGGATGCCCTTCCTGACACAACCCTCACCATTTACCCAGGTTTGGGACCGGCACAAGAGATATACTGGCTTGTGCTCCCTAGTGGCTGGTTTTACTTAACATGCTCTGTTCAGCAAAATACACTTCACAGTATTGCTCTCTGCTTCATCTGTGCTGAAAGTGAAACTTAAGTGAACGGCAATGGTCCCTCTGCTGGATACATTGTACAATTACAAGCTGGTCCCAGCACTGTAGGGGTGAACATTAGGGTTGTTTTCACACCTGATAGTAGACTCGGTTCGGTTGGGGACCAATATTCATAACATTTTGTTTACATTTGAGCTGTTGCGTTTGCATTCACACTGCACTGTGCAGTCAAGCCAACCTGTTCCCCCACTCGCCTGTGGTGGCGCTGCACCAAGAACTACTGAAAGAAACAACACAAAAATCTCTGAAGACACTTCTTCTTCTGGAAATAAAAACAAAAATGGAGTGGCATCAAGTTTTAGTAGTTTTAGGAGTTATATTTAGTCATTTTTCAAATATGGACTCAGCATGAGCAGAAGATGAGGCAGAAGACCATGGAGAATATTGTTTTTCACACAAGGCAGCTGACGGCTCCATATAAGGTAAGAGAAATGCGTGTTTGTTTGCCCTGCTTTGTACTCCACTTCTTGCTTGTGGAGAGGGGCCCGGTCTGTTTACATTCACGCTACTCAAACCGCGCTGGAGTTTTCTTCTACCAGACTGAGACCTAGGTTTTAGCCCAGGCCAGAGTTCGCCTTTTTGTTCCGTGACAGAGTTCGATGGTGCGTTCACACCTCCCCAAACGAACTGGACTTCCTAAGAAAACAAGCTAGAGTTCGATTAAAGCAGACTAAACAGGGCTGGTGTGAATGCACCCTAGGAGTGTTTATATTGGCACATAATGGGACAGTTGTCACCGACACCAACATGTCCCCAAACCTCTATGTCGTCCTTGTAGGGTTCTTCTGTCTCCATCATGCTCTCAATTCCTTGTGAGTTATTTGCCAGGCAAGCAGTAAAGCCCTGAAGATTTTTTGTTTTAATAAATATTTTTTACTTAGCTATCTGCCTCCGAGTCTGCACTTGAGTTGCCTCCTGAGCCAGAACCTCACAATTTTTGATCAAATAGTTTGCTAAATCATTGCAGTAAGTCCAAATTAGCATAAGTTTTCAGGAAAGTGTGAAATTAATAAAATGAAAGAAATGCAGAAAAACAAATGAGGAACAAATCACTCTTATTACTTTTATGAGGGAAGAGTGGAAGGCAGTCACTATGTTTACATGCACAATTTTTTTTCACTGGATTAAAATGTTTTCAGATTAAATAATTCAAATGTATTGTTTACATGGGCACAATCTGTTCATGACGAGCGTTTACATACAGCGGGCTTTGTTAAGAACAGAAGTACTGACATGTGCAGAGTGGTAAACGCTCCTTAAAAAACCCACCAAGAATAAGTTCTACTTCTGGTTTACTTCCGAGATGATCGTAAACAAACCTGAGCACCCAAAATGGATGCACGACAGGTTTTAATGACAGTGGAGACGTTACTGCACTTCCTGACTAAGATACAGGTAATACAGATCATTTTGAACTCTTTCAAAGTTTCTAGAAGAAATACTGTGTTGCTCACCGACCAGTTTTACCTCCCCGACTTGCTAATATTATTAGCATTAGCCAGGTGGAAATGACATAGTCACACATGCGCAGTCAGGTCAGTTTTTCACGATCAGAAAAAAAACGAACAGCTCAAGCGTATACATGCGCTTCGTTCGGGTTATGAATCGGCGTAAACCACCCGTTTCGTTCTGATCACAAATTATTTCGGACACGCTGAATAAACAAAAAATAACCGAACAGGGTGTTTACATGACGTGTTTTTATTCCGAACAGCCTTTTAATCTAATTACTTTTGTCCATGTAAACATAGCTCGTGAGATGTTCAGTTTATGGCCTTAAAGATGACTTGAAAACTTCTGACACGACACATATATGGCACATATTCTCTGCTCTTTTCCTTTCAGTGCATTCAAGTAATGAGGTCATTTTTGCTGAAAGTTTTGTTCAGATGAGATTGTGAAAGGGGTTTTAAGAAAAACAAGCGTTGCGTGCCAGGAAGCCACCCATCACTTTAACTCTTACTTCACTGCTGTAAATTTGACTGAATAATCCTATTCTGTGGCAGCAGGAAATGTTTTATTCTTTGGATTTGAGCCACTCCAGCTTTTTCCTTGCATGGATAACAACCCTTTAGGGTCCACCTGAACCAATATTTTCACAATGCAATAATCCAAGTGGGGGTTGAAATGGCTATGCTGCACATCCTGCAGCAACAGAACCCCCAACTGACTCTGCTGTAATGGCCCACATAGGTTTGACATACAAGCTGAAACACACTCTGATGTGCACGTGAAGACACACACAGACATTCCCTCAAACCAACCGCAAAGTGAAGTATGGCACACTTAAATCCTCAGCGTGTCGGACTGGAATTGGCTGAAATGGTTTTTAGATGACTGTAATTTGATATAAAGTGTGAGAAAGAGTCAAGAATCATAAAGATAAACCTAAAAAAGTGTGCTTTAAAAACAGTACATATCCAGATGTGTTCATAAATGATCCAGATAAACAAAAACCCCAGTATGCTCATCTTTTTTAACCTAAGTACAGGTCCTTCTCAAAAATTAGCATATTATGATAAAGGTCATTATTTTCCATAATGTAATGATAAAAATGAAACTTTCATATATTTCAGATTCATTGCACACCAACTGAAATATTTCAGGTCTTTAATTGTTTTAATACTGATGATTATGGCATACAGCTCATGAAAACCCAAAATGCCTGTCCCAAAAAATTAGCATATTTCATCCCACCAATGAAAGACAAGTGTTTTTAATACAAAAAACGCCAACCTTCAAATAATCATGTTCAGTTATGCACTCAATACTTGGTCGGGAATCCTTTTGCATGAATGACTGCTTCAATGCGGCGTGGCATGGAGGCAATCAGCCTGTGGCACTGCTGAGGTGTTATGGAGGCCCAGGATGCTTCGATAGCAGCCTTAAGCTCATCCAGAGTGTTGGGTCTTGTGTCTCTCAACTTTCTCTTCACAATATCCCACAGGTTCTCTATGGGGTTCAGGTCAGGAGAGTTGGCAGGCCAATTGAGCACAGTAATACCATGGTCAGTAAACCATTTACCAGTGGTTTTGGCACTGTGAGCAGGTGCCAGGTCGTGCTGAAAAATGAAATCTTCATCTCCATAAAGCTTTTCAGCAGATGGAAGCATGAAGTGCTCCAAAATCTCCTGATAGCTAGCTGCATTGACCCTGCCCTTGATAAAACACAGTGGACCAACACCAGCAGATGACATGACACCCCAGTGACTGTGGAAACTTGACACTGGACCTCAAGCAATGTGAATTCTGTGTCTCCTCTCTTCCTCCAGACTATGGCACCTTGATTTCCAAAGGAAATGCAAAATTTACTGTAATCAGAGAACATAACTTTGGACCACTCAGCAGCAGTCCCAGGCGAGATGCTTCTGACGCAGTCTCTTGTTCAAGAGTGGCTTGACCTGGGGAATGCGGCACCTGTAGCCCATTTCCTGCACACGCCTGTGCACGTTGGCTCTGGATGTTTCTACTCCAGACTCAGTCCACTGCTTCCACAGGTCCCCCAAGGTCTGGAATCGGCCCTTCTCCACAATCCTCCTCAGGGTCCGGTCACCTCTACTCGTTGTGCAGCGTTTTCTGCCACACTTTTCCCTTCCCACAGACTTCCCACTGAGGTGCCTTGATACAGCACTCTGGGAACAGCCTATTAGTTCAGCAATTTCTTTCTGTGTCTTACCCTCTTGCTTTAGGGTGTCAATGATGGCCTTCTGGACAGCAGTCAGGTCGGCAGTCTTACCCATGATTGCGGTTTTGAGTAATGAACAAGGCTGGGAGTTTTTAAAAGCCTCAGGAATCTTTTGCAGGTGTTTAGAGTTATGTCGTCGATTCAGATGGTTAGGTTAATAGCTTGTTTAGAGAAACTTTTCATGATATGCTATTTTTTTGGGACAGGCATTTTGGGTTTTCATGAGCTGTTTGTCATAATCATCAGTATTAAAACAATTAAAGACCTGAAATATTTCAGTTGGTGTGCAATGAATCTGAAATATATGAAAGTTTCATTTTTATCATTACATTATGGAGAATAATGACCTTTATCACAATATGCTAATTTTTTGAGAAGGACCTGTATAGCATCCTGTGTCGACAACCCTTGACCCTACATTATCATATTAACATTAACCCGAGTTCAAAGACTAAGGAAGCCTCACATGTTGCTCATGTATACATTTCCTGTTTACCTTGTAGGGCTCCAAAAGAACACTGTTGCACTAGCTTCAACCATCTTCACTTAACTTTTTTCTTTGCAGAATATCTTATTTACTTTATTCACTTGTTTTTGCTGTGATGACTGCTGACAGTCCTCGACTTCACCAAAACCCAAAGATCAAAGTAATCCGTGCTGTTCTGGTGTTTAATTTTCAGATTGCCAACGCCATGGTAAGCACATGGCAGGGTCCACCAGCTATGAAGTCTCTGTTCACCAGAATGTTTTGCTGTAAGAGCTGCCCCAACATCGTCAAGACCAACAACTTCATCAACTTTCAGAGCTACTTCTTGCAGAAGGTACAAACACAACAAAGCTCTTGTATTCTTTGAGTTAATGCTCCCACAAGTTGAACATGCGTTTTATTTTTTATATATTTATCATCATTTTGTTTATTTGAATTCAGGGTGCGTTCAGTGTCCAATTGTTCAAATGTTCAAACTGTCCAAATGCTCTGTCTCTGATCACCTGACTGTTCTTGGTCCATGGACTGTGGAACTAAGAGACAGACCTGCGTGCGTTTGTACTGGCAGTTTAGAGCAGGGGAGACGCAGCCTGCACTGGCAGCCCAGAGCGGGGAGTGGAGAAAGAGAAAAAAGACAAGTGTCAGCTTGGGAGTGGGGGAAGCGAGACAGTTGAGTTGTCTGTACCTGCAGTTTAAGGCTGGATGGAGAGAGAGCTGAGCCGCGCGTTGTTTGTTTTTAGCTTTTTAGCTAGCTAGTGCACAACTAATTAGCGTTACACCAGTACCTACAGGTGGGGGGGGGTGCGCAATTCGGTTTGGTCGTTTGGCGCACTCAGTTCTGTTAAAGGGGTGGGGCGCCCTTACATATTACGTCATGAAATTAGCATATCATGATATCATTTTTTTGCCCGGGCAAGCTTTTTTTTACCGGTATTATTGTGAACAATATGATATGGCCTAGCCCTACTGCCCCCACTTCAAAGTGCTTGCAGACAGTCCAGCCCGTCCTCGTGCAGTCCGTCCCAGCTGCAGTGAGAGCAGGAGATGTTCACCCCTCTGCCTTTGAACTACCCATGATTTTTGTTTCAGACAAGCCTGTTCTCATCTGGGCAGAGCTTTCACGTTTGTTCAGTGGATAGTTTTGAGGAGCAGCTGGCCAAGACAGTGAGGAAGTACAAAAATATAAATGCCACATCTGTAATTGCATATCTCTATCTCTATAACATGCAACTGGCTAATAATTCATGGTAAGTGGTAGCCAAAACACTGCAGACAGAGGAAGACATTTGTCTGAAATAATAAAAGACATTACTGTTGCAACTAAATGACAAAGGCCAAATGGTGTGTTCAAACAAAATGTGATGAAGCAGCTGGGATACAACCTGTCCTGCATGGGGAGGACCCTGTGAGGACTCCTCAAGAGTTCTGTACTTGAGTGAAGAATGAAATGTTCTGCCCAAAATGAACTTTCTTCTTGGTTTCGACAGCTCGAGAAAACCAATCAACTTCTTGGTTCTTGAAGTGTTACAAGACTAAAAGAGGACGCTGTGACTTTAAAAACAAGAACTGAAAGAAGAAAGTACATTTGTAGTTTTAAACATATGACAGTGTTTTTACACATTTTTTGTTTCTTCCCTGGTGTTTTTCCTCCTACAGCTTCCAATGACTTTCACATGTCCAAATCTGCAATTATGGAGACATTAGCAGTTTCTAACAACTTTAAGACTACCAATACACTTTTCCTTACTGAAGAACTAATCTGTTAGTCTTTTTAAAGCACCATGCAGATTAATGTCATGCTATGAAGTAGAATGATTTTGGCCTCATTTCTCATGGCCTTTATTTAGTCTATTGAAATGTACTGCTGTAACTTTATTTCAAAGTTATCATTTGGGATGTCAAGACATTTCATTATCTGCATGCTTTCTTCATCTGTGTAAAGGACCGTCTTGTTTTGTGTTTGTGCTACATCCTAGACGATGCCTGTTGCCATGGCTTTACTCAGAGATGTGCAGAACCTCTGCCCCAAAGATGTTCTCAACTTCATACTGGACCTCATCAAGTACAATGACAACCGCAAGAACAAAGTAAATATTTTTACACGCTGTATTCTCTGTAACACTTCATGTTGTGACATCAAGCGTTTTAAATTTTTTCACTCATTTATTTTTTGCTTGTTTACATTTCCATCTTTTCTGTGAGATCCGCTTTAAGTCTCATTAACGACTGAACATAACTACGGTACTCTTACTAAGAATTATAATACCTAAAATTATAAATGTAGCATAAGTTATAATATTACCGTAGTTACCATATTGTAATTATTAGTACAAGTAGTAAGAGTAAATGCCACATAACATTAGATAATTAATTACTAATTGCCTAATACTATATCTAAATACTAATTACTAATGATTATTAGTATGAATAGGAAGCGTAAATGCCGCAAATAGGGGGAGTGGTGGTGCAGAGGTTAGAGAAAGTGGGCCTGTGATCGGAGTGTTGCTGGTTCAACTCCCCGGACCAACAACATCAAAATGTGGGTGGTAAAGGTGAAACACCCACACCTGCCTCCACCCTCATTTGCCACACTCTAGGTCCTTGAGCAAGGCACTTAACCCCCACCATCTGCTCCCCTGGTTGCCCTAGATCAGTGGTCCACAACCTTTCTTGCTCCACGGAGCAGTTTGATGTCAAACAATATTTTCATGGACCGGGGGGGGGCGGGGGGGGGGTGTTTGAGGGTGGGGGTGGTCTGGGGGTCCTCCCCAACAGAATTTTTAATAAAATAGATGCCATTTCCTGCATTCTGGTGTATTTTAAAAACATTTAAAACATTTTTTGCGGGACCGGGACGGTTCCTGGCCCAGGGGCTGAGGACCGCTGCCCTAGATAGCAGCTCTCTGCTCCACACAGAGGGCTGTGGTAGCTCGGTGATCTATGGTTACGTCAGAAAGGGCATCCGGCATAAAAATAATCAAGTCTTCATGCGAGTTAGTTCACTGCGGAGACCCCTGAAGAAGGGAGCAGCTGAAAGAAGAAGAAAATAAAAGTGAATTAAATGCTGTCTAATGTATTGGTTTGAACTAGTGCGACATAATAGAATTGATTCTAAACAAATGACTTCCAAGGTCACTGCCTGTATGTTGTGTGAAACAATGAACGCTTTTTATAAGGAGAGAGATTATTTTTTATAGGACCCCTCAGGAAAAATGTAGAAAGGAGAAACTAGCCAGATTATCTGAGTGCATTGTTTTTAGATTCTTCTACCCTGTTACAAACAGCCAGATACATTTAATCACACCACTAAACTTTTACTCATTTCAACTTTAAAATTACATGAAAAATAGGAGAAGACAAGTAAATTGCTGGCTCATTAATTTCAACAAATTTCTGCATCCCTGCTAATACTGTAAGTTGAAACGGGTGCAGGAGTAACATCAGACCCACTGGAGATTACTAAAATGTTTATGGATTTTTATAAGTTCTCATCTGTAGTAATGTGCTTGGAAGCAGTTTTATCTGAGGTGGAGTAGTTCAAGTATGTGGGCATCTTGTTTACGAGTGATGGTAAGATGGAGCAAGAAATGGATCAACAGATGAGGGCCTGCTCTCCCATAATGATGACATTGTGGTGTTCAAGAAAGAGTTGAGTCAAATTTACTGGTCCGTTTATGTTCCATCCCTCACTCGTGGTCATGAGGTTTGAATTAGAGCCCGACCGATATATCAGCAGGGCTGATAATTTAGCCCAATTGACGTTTGGGAACCTATCAATATCTGTGATAATTGTCCCATTATCTGCCGAAATAAACACTTGTAATTTTCACCCCTAAAATTTTGGAACCAGCCATAATTGTACAATTTATCCAGCAGAGGGTGCATGAAGACTACTTTCAAGTCACGGTCATTCATTTTAAGTTTCACTTTGACGTTCAGCACAGACGAAGCAGGGAGCAATACTGTGTTGCGTGTTTTGCTGAACAAACCATCGTAAGTTTATGTTACTGATCTGTAAAATTAAGACATAATCCACAATAATAAATTATCTTCAATCCTCCAACCTGCTTGTCATTAGCTACTGCCACTCAAGTTAGCAAGCTAACATAATGCCTGCTCAATAATCCAGGTAGAAAAATCTTACAAAGTTAAGTCAGGTCCTCTGGACGGGTTAAAAAAAAATGTTGAAATGTTTTGTCTTTTATCCAAAAGACTTCTTCAGTTTTAGGATCTGCACTAAACAGTCTTATAAATAACACTAGGGCTGCAACTAACGATTATTTCAATAATCGATTCATCGGACGATTATTTTTTCGATGAATCGGGGGGAAAAAAAAAAAAACGTTTTAATTTCCACCCCTTTATTCCAAAATTGAACATTTGACTGACATAGCAATTCACACTAAAAACAGGTTGCTATTTGACTATTCTGTTAGTAAAATATTGAATAATAAAAAAATAAAAGTTAGTCAAATAGCTTAAAAAAATAAATGTACACAAAAATATATACAAATGTATCTTTATATCTGCACAGTATGTAGCTACTTTGTAAAATGTGTCCTTAAGGGAAGAGTGTAACCTGGATTAAAAGTGTGGATCATTGTAACCTGGATTAAAAGTGTGGATTATTGTAACCTGGATTAAAAGTGTGGATTATTGTAGTGAAGCCTTCGTCTTCAACCATCGACAGAGGCCTCATGTCAGTGACGATCATTTAAGGATGTTTCAGTGAAGACAGCTGCTGCTGTGGTGTCCATGATGTCTGTCCATCATGAAGGCTTTTGTTGTTGTTGTTGTTTTCTGGAATGAGACAGTAAATATGTTTTATAGCATAATTATTACAGCAACTCAAGACATGCCTTGTTTCACTTACAGCGTTAGGTTCAGGCAAAAGTAGCTAAAAGAGCAATTACACACACACACACACACACACACACACACACACACACACACACACACACACATATATATATATATAAAGTACTTAATTACACACATTTGAGTATATGTAATAAATTACTTTAATTCCTGTTTAAATGCAATTCATCCTGCCATACCTGCAGTGTCTTCAGACTTTGCCAGCAAATTAAAAGTTGAAGCTTAATCATTAAATTATTATTTTTGTGTTAGATTTATTTATAAATCACATTTAAACACTGCTTGTACCAATTAAATTAAATAAAAAGTAACACACGTTCTCTATCACCGTCATTAATCAGATAAACAAACAAACAAACAGCTTCATCTACAGACTGACGTTACATTTTCTCTCTTGAAACAGAACAATGTGTTAAATTGTAGAGACTCACCTGCAACACGAGTTGGGAGTGAGACATGTATCAGCTGCAGCTCGTGACTCCGACATGTTTACGTTTCATCTCCGTGGTTCTCTCGTGTCGTGTCGGCGATTTTCAAAGCGGCATGCTTCTCATTTTTTAACTTTGTGAAGAGCTCCCACACTTTGGAGGACTTGGGTCGAACAGTTTTCGCTGCGTCGGTCATTTGTAAAATTTACTTAATTTCCTTTGAAAACACTTTGCTCTGCTTCTTCCTCCCCCCTCGCTCTGTTCAACTCGCGCTGCAGTTTTTTTTTTTTCAAACTTTATTCAGTCAGTCAGCATTGACAATGAACTGCCCGTGAACAAAATGAAACGGCTCCGCAGCGCCGTGAAAGATGCATAATCGCGCGACACAACAAATCGATAACGAAATTCGTTGCCAACGCTTTTAATCATCGATTTTTATCGATTTTATCGATTCGTTGTTGCAGCCCTAAATAACACCTTGTCATAGTGGATCAATCAGTTTGCTAGTGACAGCCCAAACTAGCTGTTCATATGATAAAGGAGGACCAACCATGGGCCTTTCTCATCAGTGTAGTATGACATACGGATGAGATATATTCATACTGTTAAAACGGATTCTTTCATTTTTCTGGACTGTATAACATGCGTGCATTGAATTTAATAAAATGTGGACGTGAGACGTTAATTATCTTTGACTCACCAAACGAGTGGGTCATTTATTAACAGAATCAAGTTTAACACATCACACATTTACATTAATTGGCAATAATTGAAAATAACGACAGCTTATTAATCAGTTTTACAGGAGTGAGAACAATACGGCGATTGTTTCCTCACTTTCAGCAGAACAGCAGACATCAAATCACACGGCGGTGATTGAAAACTTTGCTTCAGACATTTCTAAAAATATCTGTAATGATTTTTAGCAGATAGAAGAATTTTAAAGATGAAGTTTAGAGGAAGGGAGATGGTGTGTGTATGAGTGAAAAGTGTTGACAGGATGACACCCTCGATCCGACCCAGCTTTCCTCGGTACGCTCAGTAGTGGACTAGACTCATTACCTCTCTGACGATGAATCAGCGGAAGAGGAGCTCCAGTTAACGCTACCGTTCCAGCGTCTCCGTAGGATGGCAGAGATATATCCGGAGTGGTGACGGGACTTCGTCAACAACAGTTCACCTCAACGAGTGGACTTCACATGAGTGGGGTTCGTCAGAGTTCCACTCAGAGGTGGAAGATGTTATAATCCCAATACTCGGAAGAGCCCTAAATCATGGCTGGACTTCTGTCCTCCCAAACGAGTGGAGCTGCAAACTCTCCACTCGACTCCAACGGCAACTTGGGTTGAACTAGGAAGTACCAACATTTAAAGGGCTCTATTTCCGGTTCATTTGGGAGTTTCTGATTGGCCGATGGACCAAAACAGAGGTGTGTTTTGTGATGTAAGGTGTTATGAAAAGTCAAGGAAAAGATTAAGATTGTTTAAGAACAGACAAAGAGATATTACGAAGAAACCAGACTTCGTGGAGTCCCTTCTCCCAGTATCTTGCTGTAAAAGTTAAACATGACATTTCTTTTCAGTAAACTTTCAGTTGACCGAAACTTGAACTTTGACACACTTACAACTTCGCTCATTGAAGACAGAGAATCAGACAATGCATATTAACCTGATTTCTTCTTTGAATGAGGATTAACAATCATTATACTGTTTCACAGTTAATTAAAATGATTAGTTCACTTCAGCATGTAAACATTGTTTGAACTAACACAATTTGATTAT